GAATTTAATTAAGTTTTCCCCTTTTCATGGAATAAAAAGAGGGGCTCCTAAATATTTTTGCCGATATGATGTGTAGGCCTAGTATATTTAGAAAAAAAGCGGTTAAATACATGAGGCAAGAGCAGAAAAAAAAATTGTTTCTTGTTTGACACCTCAACTTATTTGCCTTCGGGATATGGGTTTCGGGGCTTGGTTGTTGGTAGTGGCCGTCCTTGCTAAAAGTACCCCCCCCCCCCAACACACACACACACCTCTCCCCGCTTCTTTTAACTGTTACATGTATGATTATGAATTTATAATGTCACACCAAAAGATGTTAAATTTTTAAAAGCACATTTTTTTTTTATTGTGAACTTTCCACAGGAATCCTTAAAGGCATGAAAATAAGCTACAATTATAATATGATTATCAAGAACAGTTTTTTTATTTCAATAGTGATGATTGAAAAGTTCGGTGTTTAATTCATTGCTAATAAATTGTTGTGTTTTTTTTGGGGGGGGGATTAAATTACTAATCGAACTCCCTCCTTTTCGGGGTTTAATTAGATTTTGAGCCTGCTATCAATATTACTGGTGGACCTGCTAGACTTTTCTCTGATTGCTACATGTACATTGTACTTTAACATGTTTAAACTCCTTGGCCTTTAGCTAAAAAAATTTCCCACATCATTTTAACACGTAAAATTGTTAAATGAATCAGAATGTTGAAAACCTTTTTCTTAGGAGAGTTATATCTCTAGCTGGAACAAAACTAACATCTCATCAAAGGCAGGAAATATAACAGTATTTTAATTCAATATTTTAGTCGTGATTGGTATAAGTGAAGTCATGGGAAAGATTATGTCGAAATTCATCTATACTCGTTGATGTGCAGGGCTGTACTTATGCATACAGCTTTAGCTGGTCCCGCCCTGTATTTCTTTTAATGTTTTTTTTTTCGTTAAGAAATCTGGTAAGGTATGCTAGTAAAAATAAAATCCCGGTTAGTTTTTTACTCTTTCGGAAATTACTTTCCTACAGGCCTGAAGATCGAGTCTATTAGTCACGCAAGGTTTTTTTTTTATAAAAAGAGTAGCATGTCGGCGAATAAAAATAAAGTTACACCATAGATAAAGAAATGTTTGTTTGAGTATTGATAAACGTCATACCTTTATAGAATGAAATCAACAAAAACTGCACAAAAATACAATCGTGACAATTATACAATGAATTAATTATACAATTAATTCTTTTAATAGATTGCCTTAGCATGCACTACTTTAAAAGCCATTGTTCTTATGGAAAACAAAATCATGCAAAATATTATAGACTTTTCTTTATCTAGAGCAATGGCCTTTGGAGAAAAAAAAATGGCTGAAAATTTTTTAGTTTGTGAAATATAATGTATGTGCATTTAGGACCCTACATTGTAATTTCATGCGAAAAGTGCAGGCGTTTACTACACGGGGATCTGCGTACATATTTAAACAAAAAAGGGGAAAAAACGTTTTATGTGATGAATTATATTATAAACATTTATCTAATAAATGTCTTTGTAGTACGTTAGATTACAAATTTCACACAAAAACCCATCAACAATATTAAATACAGTTTTGATTTCACATTGATCTATTAACGTCATTCTGATTTAATATAATTATACACGACGAGAATTAAGATCTATTCAATACCTATAGAAAATTATTTAATTTCTAAAGAGGAGAGTTTTATTTTAAATCAGTAATGAAAATTGAAATAAAAATTCTAAATAGTTTGTTCTTTCATTGAACTTCTTAAATGTAGGTTATTTTATAAATATGTTCTCTTGTATAACTTTATTTATGGAATATACAATTTTTTAAATGATAAAAGAAATTCGAATCATCATCTTAATTTAAGAGAATTTTCGGTCGGAGACTGTGTGTGTACATGCTCGACAACAGCCCATTGTTCCCTTTAGGTACAAAACCGTCTCAATTCACATAGAATATACAAAAAATACACAGTGACAGGTGTCTTCGCGGCACGTGTCTCCACCTGATATGGCACGTGAGGACAGGTGTCCCTAATTACACAGGCCGATCATAGTGACTTTTTCAAAAGCGTTTTTTTTTTGGGGGGGGGGGGGGGAGGGGCTTCTCAAGAAAAAAAATGAAAAGCAACCCACCCACCCCAATAATAAAAACAATGATTTAATAAATTAAAAAAGACAATATTCACTATTAATAGTAAAATACTAGTATGATAATACTCAGCCCCAAGCCAATTCGATGAATGATTCTTATCTGACCAGTTTATATTAATATATTAATTCATATTAAAACAAAATCTTTATCAATTTCTAAACTTGTATTTAAAAACTTGAAACACTAAAAATGTAATTTTGACAAACCAATTGAAGTATTTTTTTCCTGACCAATTACCCCGGTATATAAGAAATGCCAACCTCTGGTATCTAACACAAATGCCTGGTAAGGTACCTTGATGTCTTGTGAATACATGTAATTATGTAAAAATAATTCTTCAATGTCAATTGCAAAATATTGGAAAAAAATTAACTATTTTACTGAGGAACGTCTCACCTGTCCTTAATCAGTAATCGTAACTTGACATATTTCTTTATTTACTTTTTAATCGATCTTTTTAGTCAACCTTTTCTGTAAATAATTTCATTAAATGTACCCTTCCTTAGCTCTTCCATTTTTTTCAAAGGAACATTCATCATAGACAGCTTCAAGAAAGTGGGATCGGAATGATTGATTTCTACATAACTGCATGCACTTACTTTTTCCTATTCCACTTCACGCATTCTATACGAGTTTACCAAAACTTATGTGATAAATCAAATTCAAAATTAAATTAAATTAAATAAAATTCAGTTAAATAAAATTAAATTAAAATTGAATTGGTTCACGGTGCTGAAATATTAAATTAATCACACAGAAATACACATCTAGTTATTTTAACTGTTTGAAGTTAATTATTTTGATACAGCATGTAAACACTTTTGAAATATTTCTATAATTGGTAAAAATATGGTAACATAATTAAATATTTAACTTTTTGTAAAATAAAAGGTAGGTTGGTTAGTATTGAGATATACTTTCAAAGTTTCCCTGCCTGGGAAACATGGGGAAAACTACACATTGGTGGCTTCCATGTCGGGAATCTGTATGGAAACCACTAAGGCATGTATACATGGTTTCCTATCTTGGGAAACTTACGGGAAACCACAGGTTGGTTGTTTCCATATCGGGAATCTATATGGAAACCACCGGGGCATGTTTCCATGGTTTCCTATCTTGGGAAACTTACGGGAAACCACAGGTTGATTGTTTCCATGTCGGGAATCTATGTGGAAACCACCGGGGTATGTTTCCATGGTTTCCTATCTTGGGAAACTTACGGGAAATCACAGGTTGATTGTTTCCACGTCGGGAATCTATGTGGAAACCACTATGTGGTTTCCATAAAATGGAAACTATATGGAAACTACTGATGTCACGATTCCCATATGTTTCCATCGGGTTTCCAAATTTGGGAAACCTGGCTTTTCATCCTGTGGATCAATATTTTGTTATACATTACTGAAGCAAAAGTATTCATCTTAACAATTTGTAACAATATATGATAAGATTTTGATCATATGTTACGTAATTAGGGGTCAGAAGGGGACAGAATTTCAAATCTTTGACGCTTTATATCTCAAAAAGGGGGAATATTTTAATAAGCAATATTGAACAAAAGATGATCAGAATGATGTTCTAAACAATATGCATACTTTAAATTTTTGTAAAACGACCCCATAAAGGACTTGGAGGGGTGGCCCCTAAATATTTCCATTTAGCATATCTCCATAACAAATAGAAATCTCTGAATAAGTGCTGAACAAAAAATCTTCAAAATCACAAGACCTTTCATTTAATATCCAGTAAATGGGGCTGATTCCTCAAATTAGGGGCTCAGAGGGGCCAAAAGTTTTTTATCTATAACTCTTTAATGATCAATATTTTGTTATACATTACTGAAGCAAAAGTATTCATCTTAACAATTTTCAACAAAATATGATAAAATTTTGATCATATGTTACATAATTAGGGGTCACACGGGGCTAGAATATCAAATCCCTGACGCTTTATATCTCAAAAAGGGGAATATTTTAATAAGCAATATTGAACAAAAGATGGTTCATAATAATGTTCTAAACAATATGCATACTTTGAATTTTTGTAAAATGGCCCCATTAAGGACTTGTCGGGGTGGCCCCTAAATATTTATATGAATCATATCTCCACAATGGAAAGAAATCTCCGAATAGGTGTTGAACAAAAAAAGTCTTTGAAATCACAAGACCTTTCATTTGATATAAAAAAAAAGGGGCTGACTCCTTCAATTAGGGGCTTAAAGGGGCCAAAAGTCTTGCATCTATACATCTTTAATGATCAATATTTTGTGATACATTACAGAAGCAAAGATATTCATCTTTACGATTTGCAACAATATATGATAAAATTTTGGTAATATCTTACGTAATAAGGGGTCGCAAGGGGACAAAATGCTATATTTTTTATGCTTTACGACTTGAAAAAGGGGGGATATTTTTATAAGCCATATTGAACAAAAGATGTTCAGAAAATCGTGATAAAAGTCAGAAACTTTAAATTTAATGAAGGAAAACTTAATGTTATTCTTTTTTAACGAATATCTCAGTAAAAATCACAACTCATCTTATCGAGAAATTCAACGGAAGACCTACTTGTTGCTCGCAACGAGATCTCATTTAGTTTATTATATAATTCTTGTAATCAATGATAAGTTAATAAATGATCCTCGTAATCACTGGTTAATTTCAGGATTTAGTTTGTTGCTTTTTTAAAATCTATTTTGAATGGAGAATTAACTGATATATCGCCTCATTCCTGTATATAGTATAAATTTAAACTACTATATAGTATAAATTTAAACTACATAGACATTTTCCCATTGATAGGATCCAGCACCTCAAGGCTGTCAGCAAGAAGCATGACAAAGAAGAGCAGTGAAGGCTCCTTAAATGGCACTGGTAAGTTATATAATCCTTGTTATTACTGATATATTATTATATAATCCGTGTAATCACTGGTTATTTATTATATAATCCTTGTTATTACTGATACATTATTATATAATCCGTGTAATCACTGGTTATTTATTATATAATCCTTGTTATTACTGATACATTATTATATAATCCGTGTAATCACTGGTTATTTATTATATAATCCATGTAATCACTGGTTATTTATCATATAATCCATGTAATCACTGGTTATTTATCATATAATCCATGTAATCACTGGTTATTTATTATATAATCCTTATAATCACTGGTTATTTATTATATAATCCTTATAATCACTGGTTATTTATTATACAATCCTTGTAATCACTGGTTATTTATCATATAATCCTTTTAATCACTGGTTATTTATCATATAATCCTTATAATCACTGGTTATTTATTATATAATCCTTATAATCACTGGTTATTTATTAATAAGTATTATTTAGAGAACTCGACAGGTTCTGTATCGTAGATACAAATTTGGGGGCAGACGAGTGCGAAAGCACGAGTCTCCGCCCCCAAATTTGTATCTACGATACAGAACCTGTCGAGTTCTCTAAATGATTTGTGACACGATCAATCAAAAATAGCTCCGCCCACTTTATAACTTTGCAAACTTTCGCCAGAGTTCTGTAGATGAGGCCCCGACGGGGAGTACGCATCCGCAGTATTTATATTTCCACGGAAAACGTAAAATTCGGTCAGATTTGTTTTGACAATTTAACGGGGTAGACGTAATCGAGTGATAGTCAGTCTTAATGGATAAATTGGAGGATTTAACCGTAATTGTTGGGATCTATTGTTATAATTGTAGATGGAGATTTATCATAATTTATTTCAGGGGTCTTAAAATCCCGGTTTAACTAGATTTACAAAAACAGGATTTACAGAAAATTCTTCGATGGACTTTGATGTCACGGATTTTTATTTTCAAATTGAATTGCGACATTAAAACGCAGTGAAAGAGACGTGTGGCTATCGTCAGCGAGAAGGATTTTTTCCGTGATAGCGAATTTTCCGTTTCGTGTGGATTGTTCAAAATTAGGTACAGAGGATGTTTTCCGTTATTGCGATTTTTCTTTTTACTTTCGATCGAAATTACGTGTAGATTCTGTGTGGAATAAGTTTTTTAAAAGTGATTCAGAAATTTTGACATTCTACATTCTCAGGAAAATACCGGGTATTTCTTAAAAATTAATAATAGGAAAACATCAGTATTTATTATGTGTACGTGCTAGCTTTGCTAAATTGAATCAGATTTATTTTTAGACCGTGCTGTATTTTAGATACAGAATAGTTGGCAAATGCAATACTGTAAACAAGGCTAATGCAGAACGGAAAGTAGCTCCGCCCACCACAGTCCCGTTCTGTATTGCTAATACAGAACAGTAAACTTCAAAGAAACACACCGCTATCGTGTCACAATCTATGTAATCACTGGTTATTTATTATATAATCCATGTAATCACTGGTTATTTATCATATAATCCATGTAATCACTGGTTGTTTATCATATAATCCTTATAATCACTGGTTATTTATATATTTCAGGATTTTTTATAAATCATTGTAGCCATGTATTTCTATTCAGCTTTAGACGACTTAAATAGATTTAATGATACATTCTTCGGAATCGGGTTATATTATAATTGTATTATACTTATTAAAATGCAAAATTTGTTCATTGTACAAGTAAAGATAATGTGTTTTTTAATTTCAGGATTTATGCTGTTGTTTCTATAACAGTTTAACCTAAATATATAATAAAGTGGTATATTATCGCAATTCTGCTTACTATAAATTTTAACTACACAAACATTTTCACATTTACAGCATCAAAAATCTACAGCCAGTCTCCAAGGAGCAGCATTAGTGAAGGTATCCTTGCACCATAAATGGTACTAGTAAGTTATTCTATAATCCTTTTCAATCCGAGCACAAAATATGCATAATGAAACTACAGTAAAACTTTTCTAAATTAGATGTTGTGTATTTTGAAATGTTGCCTAATATGAATATAAAAACTAACAGCCCCTTTCAGTTTTCAGGATCTCATTTGCAAATTATTTTGACATATATCATAGTATGAATATTGATACCAAATTTAAAAGTAATTAAAAGAGTATGTACTGTATAATTATTTAGAATATATGTTTATTCATTGAATTTCACGACACAACCTAACTGTTCCTTACATTAAGGGACAAGGGCTTTTCGTTGCTTTTCATGTTGTAAATCTCCATTAAATTTCCTCACCCCCAGTACTGTGTAGGATAGGAGCCCCGACCACCATTATACTTTTTTAATGCACCCTACTATTACTGAGAATGTTTATGTCAACACAAATATTTTGTTTTACTTAATAAGGGCGAGGACCTCACTGGAGCTCAATGAGGAGGATCCATTAGAGGTCCCTGTAAACAAGAGAGACGGGGTCAATAGTCCACAAAGTGTCAGCGATTACTTAAAAGTAGGTCATCAATATTTTACAAAAAAAAAAATCTGTATATCGTTTTTGTTTAATTCTGTAACTTTACCATCAATTTTAATGGTTTTTAAAGATAATTATTGTCATGAAATGCAACTTTCAGTCTCATTATTTTTAAATATATACTATATGAAATGTTTTACATGTTTATTTATGTTTGCATAATATAATATTTCCTTCTCTTTTCAATCGTTTTGCTATAGTGCACCTTTTGTCTTTACATGAATATTCCTATGAAATTTTTTTGCACATCAATAACAGTCACAGGATTTTTTGTCCCCCGCTTTCGCAAATGCGAGAGAACATTAAATCTCATTCGTCTGTCCATCAGTCTGTCTAGTCTGTCCGTCTGTCAGTCCATCAGTCCGTCACGAAAACTTTATCCTTGCCCATAACATTTGATTAAGTGGAGCTTTGACTTTTATATTTCACATGTGTATTTCTTGTGACAAGACCTTTATTTGGGGGTACCACCAAATTTGAACTTTTGACCTTGACCTTGGAGTTTGACCCACTTTTACACAAAAAATTCTTAACTTTTACTTTGGCCATAACTTTTGAATGGTATGTTCTACGGTAGGACTTTCATATTTCACATATATTTTCTCTGTAGCAAGGTCTTTCATTGGATACCAACAACTTTGAACTTTTGACCTTGACCTTGAAAATTTCCGTACTTATGAAAAAACTTAAAACCTTGACCATAACTTTTGAATGGTAAGGGCTAAGGCTTTCATTTTTCACATATGTAATCCATGTGAAAAGACCTTTCATTGGATACCAAAAACTTTGACCCTTTGACCTTGACCTTGAAGTTTTAACTACTTTTTAAAAAACTTTAGCCTTGGCCACAACTTTTGAATGATAGATACTAAAACCTTCATATTTCACATATGTATTTTTTGGGCAAGAAAGCGGGGGACTAGAATTTTTTGAATTTACTTATTTTCTTTCATTCCAATCATTTCGTCCATTCTATCAAAACAGGCCAAATCCTCCAATAGCATTGAAGACGAGGTAGAAGTAGAAGTCACTCCTATGTCCCAGGAGTTGGCGCAAGACTTCAATTGTCACGCGGGCTCTCCGTGCATGCTGCTTGAGCAGAGTCCTAAGGTTGAGCAGTATAGAACTTCCAAATGTAAGCCTAGTTTATATTTATTTGGAAAGTTAGACATTGGATCTTTATTTGAAATTTGCATAAAAAATTATGATTGATACTCAACAAGGATAGATAACTCCCCATCCCTAAAAATTAACATTTTAAACTTCTCTAGAAATACAAGGGCAACTTTTATATTAAATTCTTATCACTTTAAGCATCCTTTTGTGGGTCAGTTTTAAAAATATAAAAATTAATTTGGACACGGCTTTCAGTCTAAAAGGAGGCCATCTGGACCAGAAAACATTAATTACAGCCTTTGTTGTCTGCACATCCTTTGGAGGAAGGTTAATTTAAAAATATGAAAATTAATTTGAACACAGTTTTCATTTAAAAGGCTGTCCAAGGGTCATTTTAAAAAAGAACTTCCTCTGAACCAGAGAACATTATTTACAGCTATTCTTATCTGTAAATTTGTAGGTGAAGCAACAGAACAGAGGTAGGATTCAAGAAGTGGAAACAAGAGGTACGTGCATGTTTATATGCTAACTCTTGGGAAGGGGGGGGTAAATTTTTTTCATTTTTTTCTGTTAAATGCATGAAACCTTTATCAGAAGGTTGAGGCAGAGGGGAACATGTAATGGATTGTAACAGGAGAAATATATACACAATGAATCAGACAAAGATTCGAACCCGTGTACCCTGAATGTCCAGTCATATCTACTGACTGAGCTTTCTGGCTTCATGGGTCACATCCATCTGCCTGCCAAAGCCCTTCCCCCTTAAGGTTTTCAGACCTCATAGACATCAACCCTGGGGTCTTTCCTGACTATTCCAAGGCCTGCTCACAGTACCAAACATAACGGGAGGGGAAGAAAATGTAATGAACCAGACTGGGAATTTAAGGCAGTCTTAATTTCCAGTCATTTAATTGCTTTACCCTCTCAGCAGTCTGGTGTCTGGCAACCGAACCTGCCTCATTGCCACAAGTTGAAATTTCAGTAACTCATATTTAATTACATGTACTCTTAAAATTTAAAATTACATAAGAAGGGGGGCTGTTTTAAATGGCCACTTTAATTTTTAGCTCACCTGAGCCGAAGGCTCAAGTGAGCTTTTCTGATCACATTTTGTCCGTCGTCCGTCCGTCCGTCTGTCTAGCTGTCTGTCTGTCCCTCTGTAAACTTTTCACATTTTCGACTTCTTCTCAAGAACCACGGGGCCAATTTTGACCAAACTTGGTACAAAGCATCCTTGGGTAAAGGGGAATTTAAATTGTCAAAATAAAGGGCCAAGTC